TGTGGGCTTTGAATCAGAAGAAAAAATCTGCTTTGTGGGTTGTAGGAAGTGCATCTAACACCAGTTTGCTCTTCCTGAAACCAGACATATATTTTCCCATAATGGCAGGGAGCTGCAGATGGCAGCCACCACATTGTCCCAGAAAAAGAAATGGCTGAGATGAGGAGTTGCAGATAGGTTGTATGATCATCCTTCAGTGGACCATTTTTGTATCTGTCGTGCTTCATGAGCCTATGATTTAAAAACCTATAGCACCATCTAGTGACGTTAAGAAAACACAACTATTCCTCATGACAGAAAACATTATTTTAGATAACACTTTTGCAAACACTTAAGGCAGTGCTTTTCAATCTTGACCACTTTAAAATGAGTGAACTTCAACTCCATGGGGAATTCTGGGAGTTGAAGTCCACATATCCTAAAGTGGCCAAGATTTAAAAACATTGGTCTAAACAGACAGGCACTTGCTCACTAGAATTTCAGGCATAAACTTTTCCCAACATGGCTTGAATATTACAGGAATAGAATTTGGAACCTTTTTTTGGCAAAGCTGTTATGCTAGGAGGTGGATGAAAAAGCAAGTTTGTAAAAAAGTTTGTATAGAACTAGAAGAAAATGAGCATGTCTAAAACAAAAGCATTCTTGGAAGTACAGCCATACCTACATCATATACAGAATGGAAAACACTTTTATTGCACAAACCAAACACACGGTTAACATGTACAGAGATACAAATGAAATATTTTAAACATCTTTAAACTGAAACTTGTAATATTTATTTGTAATTTTTTGTTCTTTGCAATAGCATTTACCTTCTGAGACCTGTGTTGTAGGAATTTCAAATCAAGCAGGAATGAGAAGTATGATGAATGGTAAATTGCTACTTCCCATTCTCATGTTCCACAGAATTGCCTAGTGAAGACTTATGTCTCATAATTCTTTGATTTCCATAAAGTAAATGGGTTGTATAAGTTTCCGCCCATTTACAAAATATACCTAGTCATCAGATTATTCAGGCATATGTATTGCAATAGACTCTACTAAATTAACTCATGTTGTCATCTCCTACACATGTGCTTGTATTCTGAAAATCTTATTAAGGATGTTGATAAGTAGGGAAAAAATTCCAACTAATTCTAGAAAGACAATGCAAGCTATGAACCCTTTGATTTTTTTCCATGCTACTGCTACTCCATGCTGAGCATCGTTCTACAATAGGGAACAAATATAGAGATAGTTATGAAATCTTATCAATCTATCCTTGACATCCCTGCAAAAATTCTCAAGAATTAGGAGTGGGATAGAGAGATGCTATAGCCCTCAGAGCTGGGAAGACAAAGGACACCGTGCTACACTTTACTATTTATTAATTCATTGTTTATGCTTTGCAATAGTTACACAGGAAGGAACAGTGAAGCTTTGGAATTACTGCCAGACAATATATCCAGGGATATGTTTTATTTTGATAACCAGCTGTCCTTTTTATTCTAAAGAGCACACCTCATCTCTGCATGATACAGTGTCTTATTTCACTTTTGCCTTTGCCCAGCTAAATATTTTCTGATCATGTACCAGTTAGACTGTTGCTCTTCAGAGTTCTTTATAATTAGAAAATAACCTAGATAGTTTGCTGGACATCCAGCAAAGCTAATACAGGTGTGCAATCCAACAAAGCATCCCTTAAACAACTGATGGTTTAATGACCCTAAACACATAATTTTAAGGAGAGCTGTCAATGGATACAGCCAAGGCAATTTTGACTGCTGCTCAATATTTATAAGACAGTGAGATAAAAGATAGCTTTAATCACAGTGGGTTCAGTTAAAACTAGATCACAAATTGTGATTGACCAGCCTTGTAAGTAGTAGAAATTAAGATTGTTACTATTTTAATATGTTTAAACATTAAAAAGAACAAGACTCCCTTCATTTTTTTAATAAATTGGCAGATTACAGGACAATTTTGGCAGGGCAATATAAAAATACCAAATAATATTGGACATAACAGTATCAAACATGGTATCAGGATGATATTTGAACTGTCATAGCAAAAGTGACTCATGTCAGATTGAATTTATAAAAACAATGAAATAAAAAAATGGGAACATCAAAGGTATGTTGTAGAAAATCAATGCAACCATTCTTTTTAAACCCTATTTACTTATATGACAAAGCGACTTAACATAAAATAAATTTCCCAGTTACTATACAAAACTGATAAGTTATCCAATCTGGATGTTACTGCATATTCAGAAAATGGAACATCTAAGTATATTGTCCCATATGTATTTGCTAGAAAAACCATAAAACTGTTTCTACGGCCTCTAACTCTAGATATCTAGACTTAGCCCTCATAACCCCTACCTAGCATAAACAATGACTTGCAAGGGATTTTGGGAATTAAAATCCAATACATCTGGAGAAAGCCAGGTTACAGAAGACAGTTCTGCATCAGGATCACATTACTTTAACAGATGGCTTGTAAAGCCATACTGAGAACATCAATTTCCGTAAGTTTTTCATAGGCAGTTGCCTCACATTGGATCAAACTATTGTTAACAATGACATGTGACAGTTTACCACATCTTCAGTCAGGAGACTTCCTGAATTATACCTGGACTAGAGAGAATCCAGGATTCTACTTCTTCTTATACTTTCCCTAGATATATTCTGGCTTGGGAGAAGAGAATGTGTTTTCTCACATAACAGGTATGGTCTCTTCTTTATCAGGCATAACATGAAGAACCTCGTTTGAAGCCCTCCATGGGCAAAAAGAGATGAAATGTAAATCTGTAACATGGAATGTTTCTATTTCAGTAGAGTAGTTTAAGTTTCTGGTCGGCATCCTTTTGTTTTGCAATTCTTTCTTTATATTTCTAATAGATTCGGGGGGGAGGGATATGTATGCACATGCACTCTTTTATGTCTGCAAATACACATAAATTTCTGTATGTATACAATCAAACAAACCATTTGATCTGTAAAGCATAGCACCACTGCGTAACATCTGTGGCTGGTCTACGCAGAGCCCTTGGTGGTCTCTGCACGAATGCCAAGTTCTGCCCTAGAAGGAGTTCAGCAGCAGCTGAGGAGAGAAAACTTCTAGCCCAGATCAACATTCCAGAGATTAGATTAAAGCTGAACATTGATCTGTAAAGCTTGGCTGGCTCTAGGGAAAGTTAAAGCAGCAAGAATGATGGGACCCTGATTAATCCAGCAGTCAAGAGTTTCCAAAAATAAAGTGGGCCAGAGGGACACAAGAAGAGGAGGGGAAGAGTATCACTCATCAACTCAGGATTCCCATCTCTATAATTCCTCTGTAAAATGTCAGATGTGACAGTCATAGGTTTGAGATGCTGGAATTTGAACATAGTTAACACTAGGGGAAAAACAATAAAACTTTGTGTCAAAAATATTTCACTGTTTCCCTTTTCTCTAACACAGCCATTTGTACAATATTCCAAACTATTCTGAATACTGTTTTCAAACATTCAATTCTGAAAAAGCTGCAGAAGGTAAATGAATCTGCAAAAAAAGTGCCTCATCTTTCATAAGCCAAAGGACTTTCCACAAGTGCAAAAAATGCCACTATTTTTAAATTCACACTACATATATTTGTAAATTACACGAAGATACTAATTGTAAATATGGCTAATATATATTTGCAAATGTATATATTTTACAAATATGCTTGTTGAGTGCTTTGTTGTGTGCTTATTTTTTTCAAATTACCTTTCTATAGAATAGGTATTTATCAGAAAGAATTGAGAATCATGGGATGTATCAATGTATAACAATATGTCAACCATCTAATTCTAAGCAGTTTTGATAATGCATTTTTTTTTTAAAAAAAGGTTGTAAAAGTGAGTACAAAGTACAAGATTATCTGTCATACCACATCCATGTGTAAGCATTTTAGCTTCTACCTTGTATGTCTTAGTAATATAATTTTCAGCAAAATAATATGGTTGAATTGATATGAATATGAATAATGAATGAGTATATTTCTTAGATGCCCTAACAAGCAAAATCAGTGCACTTCCGTTTCCTTGCACCAGCACCAATTGCAGTTCAGAGGAGGCATCTAGTTTTTACTTCTTACAAACCAGCTGTAGAGTCCATGGCATATACCATCCCGTATCTCAAGCAGAATCAATTTCATACCTCATCTGGTTAGATTTTACACATTTCCGCATTCATCTGCACATTCTTTTTCTTATTTTAATCTCTTGCCTCAAGATAATAGCAGTTGGTGCTAGTCCCTTAACTTGGAATTCCAGCTGAGCACAATATTCACACTACCAAGGTTGACTGTAAGACACAAGAGAAAAAAATCAGCTGAGCATTAGAAGGCTTTTATAATAGCATTCTTAAATCTTCAATGAAAGTCAAACTGTATCCAACAGGTTTTCTGTCATCTGCCTAAGGAGGTGAGGAAAACTGAAATCAATTAGGTTCAGATAATAATGCAGTACTTTCACCTGAAATATTTTCAATACATTTGCCTTGGAAGTAAGGCATTTTAAAGCTGTCACTTTCACGTCAGGAACAAAATTCAGGTTTGAGCAAAAAAAACCAAAAAAAACCCAACCCTCTGACAACATTTTATTTTAGCTCCACCTAATAATATACGGAACTTTTTTTTTTTTTTTAGCAAAGCTACTTGCCTCTTTTTGGCACCTTTGGAAGGTGGTCCCTCAGGGGCAGGAAGAAGGCATTTTGGTAAGTCCAAGAGCCTAGGAGAGTGGCCAGCTTTCCTGCACCGTGTCAGATTTCTCTGGCATGGCTGTGGATAAATAGATTACATTTGCATCCCTCCATTACCTAATCCACCCACGCTCCACTCATCACTTCATATTTAAAATAAAAAAGGAGCAAAAGAATGTCTCAGGCCAGAGTTAAAAGTGAAGGAGGTGATATCTGAGAGTCCTGGGGGGTCATCCTAGCCTATTCCCATCTCTGCTACTGCTCCCATTCCATATATAGCTCCTGAGAACTGCCAGACAGCTCTCTGCCTCCCTCCCTGCTCCATTTCTGCTTCTGAAGCCTGTGCCCAGTTTTTGGCCACCGCTGTGGTCTTTGGGCACCCGCTACAGTACAACAGGATGGCTGAGAAGCAGGAACAACCTCCAGTAGCCCAGAATGGTGAAAAGGCTGAAAAGGCTGAAACGGCTGAAAAGGCTGAAAATGCAGAGGAATCCGCGGAGGCAGAAAAGCCAAAGGAACTGGAGGAATTGCCACCCTTTGAAATTGTCACAGGGTAAGAGCCCTATTTCATCGCCAAGTTGACAGGAGCAACTCCTTGCTTAGGAATCTGCATAAGCTAACCAGGATCATGTCTGCAAATTTCTTTAAAAAGAAATGCCAGTCTCCACATGTGAGGATTTTGCTGTTAATAATGAAAGGAGATTGTATCTTGAGACCTGCAATAAAATGGGGAGAGGCTTAAATTATATCCAGCCAGGCTGAGCTGAGATATATCTGGAGCAAAGCCTCTTATTTTAGCATGATCATGTGTGGCACTGAAATGATTATTCTCCCTTTGCAAATAAAAAAAAAGAAAAGAAATCTTATCTATGACTTGGCTGTACAGTATTGCTTTGCAAAGCTCAATAAGACTGCTTAAAAGCACGCATTTTTTCCACATCAAAAATTCTGTTAAAAAGCAATGATAGGTAAAGGGAAAGATTAGAACTGGAGAAACTTAAGGCTAAATTCATATCCTGGAAAAATAAGAACTGCTAGTTTATTTGGAGGTATTTAAAATCAGATAATCAAAAAGGCCTAATTGTAGCAGTGAGTGGTAAGTTCATTGGATAACTCTGAAAGGATTAAGATAAGAGAACTACATTAAAAAACAAACAAACCTAGCCTGATCATTCTGTATCAGGAATTATTTATTGTAATCATTTATAGAGGGGGGAAATGAGAAAATAAAATTTGCTAAGCATTTGTAATATTTAGTATCAATTATTAAATATAGTTGAATTAAAATTATAATTGAATTAAATATTGATATGATTTCAGAATCAAACATGTAGCATTATCTTCATGGTTTTTACAACTCACTACTGTAACTATATTTCCTGGAGAAACTCAATCTGTGTAGTTGCTAAGACTCAAAACTGACTTGATGGCACATTTAATCAAAAATCAACTAACTGGTTTATCAGACCTTTTATCAACTAAGTACCACTCATATTTGTTGGATTTCAAATCCTATAATCTTCTAGATGGCACCTTGGAACCTCAGCTGGGGCAGTTCAGCTTTCATTGTATACATTAAAAAAAACCAGAATTACCATAAACATCAGTGAAGGATCTAACTACAGTAGTATATTTTCAAGTCATTGTCAGTTGGAATCATTGTCTTTATTTGCCATTTGTTATACATGTCACCTATGAAAAATAAGTGTTAATAAATGAAGCTTGCAGTGAAATACTGAAACTACAGTACAATTTGCTATTATCCAAATCTATAGACAAGATTCTAGATAAAAGCTCTCTAAGGTTCAGTTCTTATGATAGACATTATTTTTTTCTAGCCTAGCCCATTAACCCACGCCAGGGTGGAGCAATGGCTAAATTTTATTCATTCCTTTGTCTAATGGCAAAAATAGCAACAAGGCAATTTGGGCCAATTTGTAAATGTCAGTGTTGCTGCAAAGAGTATTGTATTATTTGAAACTATTGTAAGAATGTAAGCAAGTGCACCATCCTTTAGGCAATAAATCCCATTGAACTCCCTAGTAAGATTATGAACTAGAGCAGGAGTGTCCAATCTTGGCAACTTTAAGATTTATGAATTTCATCTCCCAGAATTCCCCAGCCAGCCATAGTTGAAGTTCACAAGTCTCAAAGTTGCCAATGTTGGACACCCTTGCACTAGAGTCCTCATAAAATAATCCCAGTTCATGATTCATAATGAACTTGCTCACTATGAGGTAATGGTGTTTTGGCAGCATACAAGATCAACAAGACTAGGACTGCTATACAATCCTCACAGCTCCCTCTTCTAACACTTTGGAGGTATTTTGTCCTACAGGAACTGCTGCCTAAGTAATAGTTTCCAATGCAAAGAAAAGTAGTACTGATTGAAAGACCAAGGCTATGTGTGTCCTCCCCCCTCAATAGGCAATGGCACCCAGGGACTGTCAAAAGTTGTTAAACTGTAATTTTAATCATAACAAAAGTTATCAGATTTGTGACTGGAGGATACTCATATTAATATTTATTAAAAGATATAGTATTACTTAAATATATAATTTTAAGCTTAACTGTGAGTGGAATAAATCATATTTAATCTTTGGTTTGACTTCAATAAATCTCTTTGGTGTGTGACTCCCCAGTGCGCTCCTTCACCTGAAAGCAGATGTGATATAGAGATAGGAGCCAGGTAGAGGTCGGGAGCAGCAAACTGCCCCCTCCAAAGCCTATGTGCCTCTTCTCTCTACATCAGTGGTTCTCAACCTGTGGGTCGGGACCCCATTTGGGGTCGATCAACCATTTCATGGGGGTCGCCAAGCAAGGCTGTCCGCCATTTTTTTGTCCGCCATTTTTTTGGTCCGCCATTTTTCCCCCTTTTCCAGCGGGTGCCTTACCTCCCTTGGGCTGGGCCAGCTGGTGGTCAGCCTGCTCCATCTCTGCCGCTTGCCAGCTACACTTCGGCCGGCGCAGGGGGCGGAACCACGCATGCGTGGCGCTCCCGGGCAGGGAAAGTCCTCGACTTATGACCGGTTGGGTAGTCCTCAACTTACGACCGGTTTAGTCCTCGACTTACGACTGGTTTAGTCCTCGACTTACGACCGGTTGGGGTCGCGGCATTAAAAAGGTTGAAAACCACTGCTCTACATTATCTCATCCCTTCACATCACCATGGCAATGTGGGAAACTACCCTAGGCTGGTACAATGACCTCACCTGCCTGATATCAGCTAGCTTACACCAACAGGATATTGCAGCAAACTACTCCCTGTTTTGGGCCTCTGGCTTTCTATCCTTAAGGATTGATAAGGAGTTTAACCAATAAAATGCTATTGCCATGTTAAACTTTTGCTGCTTGAAAAACTGTATAAAAGAATAAACGCTGTGAAGGCGGTCAGCCATATTTGCACCCTGCAATGACTGAGCACTGATTACTACAATGTGACTTAAATTTAAGGGTACCCTATGAAGGATCATTTATTTATTTACTCCTTCCTCCTCCTGTTTTCCTCACAACAAGCCTGTAAGGTGAGTTGGACTGAAAGAGAGTGACAGGCCCAAAATTAAATAGGATTATGGAAGGCAGAGTCTTTAATTCTGTTTACACTGCTAGAAAAGCAAATTAGAAAATATGTACTGTCATCATGGATTAGATTAGAATGATTATGTATTGGAATTTTAGCCCTGACCTAAAATTTTCAGTTAAAGACTCTGTATCAAATTACTTAAAATTAATAGATTGAGTCTTATTTAAAATAAAAGGAACATTAGTAGCCTACTGTTGTGATGTTGATAAATTTCTTTTCATCTGCAATAAGATGCCAGTTTTCTTTATCAGGTTTAATTTAAACATGTTTTATCCATAAAACAGTATTATTCTAAGATTTACATCACCCCCTGTGGCCACAAAATTAAATTATAGTTTCAATTATTTACATATTAGCCTGATGAAAAAAGACATTTAGCTAATGAGGAATTAAAAACCTTAAGAATAACAACAGTTCTGCCTAATTATCCCTGGCAATTGAAACATTTCGGCTACAATCACTAGATTACAAGTTTGCTTTTTTGCCAAAGTATCTTTGAACCCCACCCCAAACGGATGTAACTGTGGAACTGTCCTATGGCCTGACCAGTTTTTAGAATTAAGATTATTCCTTGCCCCATTTTTCAGTGTGATAATTTATTTTATAGATAGCCATGTACATTTCTTGAGATATGTGGAGCATTCATTTACACTACATTGTTCTGCAGCCAAAATTAAGCAGTTAGAACCAATTCATGAAAATGTTATCTCCCTGTCAGGTAAATATGATGTCACCCTCAACCTGTCCCCATCGCATCACCAATGCAAGCAAGCACCTGCTATCTATTCTTACAGTACATCAAAAAATAGTGTTTCCTATCTTCTGGTGCATAAATAATGTATTGTCTGCCTGGTACACTTTGGCAATTTGTAGGAAAATGCTTTTAGTCAGTTAGTTATTGTACTGTATTGTAGGGAAAACACTCCCTTTCCTCTCGTCACTGTCCTCCATAGCCTTTTCATCCTGAGCTGCTGTTCCAATGAAAAGCTGTGTTGTCGTTATAGATGGTCCTCAACTTATGAACATTCATTTAATAACTGTTCAAAGTTATGACAGAGCTGAAAAAAAGTCACAACTGGTCCTCATACTTATGACTGTCACATGATCAAAATGTAAGCATTTGGCAACTGGCATGTATTTATGATGGTTGCAGTGTCCCAGGGTCATGTAATCGCCATTTACAACTTTCCCAGGAGTCATCTACATCCAAAGTCAATGGGAAAAGCAGGATTCATTTATCAACTGCAACAAAAATGTTTATAAAATTGGATGCAAGTCACTTACCGTATTTTTCGCTCTATAAGACGCACTTTCCCCCCCCCAAAAGATGGGGGAAAATGTCTGTGCGTCTTATGGAGCGAAAAATACGGTAACTATATCACTTAGCAACAAACGTTCCAGGACTAATGTTGCTCATAAGTTGAGAACTATCTGTATTGTGATTATTTTAAGAAGTTCATTGACGGAATGGTAAAAGGGTGAACTTTTATTCATTTATTTTTAACCAGGTGAAATTAACAAGCGTTCTAGCAGTTTGCCCTTCTAGCCCAAATGATATGAGTTTTGGTTTCTTTACCAGTCCACAATAGTTCCCAAAGATTTCCACTAAAAAAAAAGTAATTGGTACTTGATTTCCAGCATGAATGAGAGGGGTAAAGAAGCAGGGAAATCCACCAATCAGGGATGATGGAAATTGCTACCCAGACACAATTCTGGTCAGCATAGTTGCCAAAACCTGAAATCCATAATGCTTTTTAAAGCCAGCTTCCTTTACAACCAGTTTTAAGACATAAGCAACTTAGCAGAAATACCATCCTATCACTGGTCTCAGGGTAGAGGGCTCTCCTCAGGCAGAAGAATATTAAAAATATAACTTTTCATAAAAGAACTAATCTACAATTAAGAGGTTCAAAATTCTTTAATACAGATTAATACAGACCAATCCATTCACTAGTACAAAAATGCTAATATCACACCTAATAACTCCCTTGTGCACAACCACCATCACTTTTTGGGCTTCTATATTTTATTTTAATGTGGAAATGAAACTAACATTGTATTGTAGTTCAGAAAATCTTGTGAGATAATCATTCTTTTAATCTTAAAGATATCACAAGATTTTCTGTTTGGTCTGTCAGTAATAGAGTAACATTTTTTTAAAAAAAAATTATTTAGCCAAACCCAAAATCTATTTTTAATTTTTTAAAAAAAATCAGATTTATGGAGTGGAAGACTCAATTATTTGCAGGACACACCCTTCATATAATCATACTGAAATGATTGAAAACATTCCTCTAATAATATATAGATATACAGGTAGTTCTTGACTTACGACCACAATTGAGCCCAAAATTTCTGTTACTGAGACATTTGTTAAGTGAATTTTGCCCAATTTTATGACCTTTCTTGCCACAGTTGTTAACTGAATTACCACAGTTAATTTAGTAACACAGTTGTTAAGTGAATCTGACTTCCCCATTGACTTTGTTTGTCAGAAAGTCACAAAAGGTGACATGATTCCTGTACACTGCAACAGTCATAAATGTGAGTCATTTCGCAAGCATCTGAATTTTGATCACATGCTGCAACAGTCATAAGTGTGAAAAAGGGTCACAAATTATTTTTTTCAGTGCTGTTGTAACTTTGAACAGTCACTAAATGAACTGTTGTAAGTTGAGGACTATCTGTAATTCCTAGGGTCAACAAAAATAATGAGAAAACTACTTCAGTACTCATCAATAATGAGCATTCTGCCAAAAAATGTGTAGTGTAAAAGTTTGGTAGTTGGAGCCCAGAGGGGAAACAATAACAGGCATAAACAATTTTTCAAAACAAAGAGCTTAAGGCTTTCTAACTTTTAACAGCATATATAAACTGTACATCAGTATTATACAGAAAGGAGAGTTTAATTTAAAATCTGTGTATCTCATACTTCGCAGCAATATAGATCAATTGCCTAACAAATCAGGATAATTGAAGAGGTGCTGACAGCTGAATTTCCTGGCAATCATCATTATAAGGGACACATGAATGCATCCAAAGACTGTGAATACATATGTTATGAAGATTGTTTTGCTTTCTTAATCATTTAATTGGACTGAACTGGAGTAGAAGGGAAGGGGGCATGGGAGATTCTCTGCAATGAAAAGGCAAAACAAAAAAAATCTTATCCATTGCTATTGCTTCAGATCTGCAGAAAAAGACTTGTAAATGTTTTGGAGGTACAATCATACTGTTTCTATCTATATCAGGGGTGTCACACTCGCAACGTCACGTGACGTGTCGTGATATATCACAACTTTTTTGCCATTGCAGCAATGGGGTGGGCACGGTTTTGCTATGATACATCTGGCCCACGGGCCGGCAGTTTGACACCCCTGATCTATACCATCATCTTACATTGCAACATCTAGGCTACTTAGTATTGTTAACATTATTGCTGGGGACACTGGGAGAAAAAACAGGACAGGAAAATTAAGCATTTTTCCTTTCCTATTAATTTACCATTGAAAATATTCTGTAGTATTCTCACACATCCACATCTCACTGAACACGCACTTGGGAATCTTTAAAAGAACAATAAAGGAAGACATTAGATGATTTAAATTTATTTTCCACAAGGTTTCTGGTGTACAAGTTATTTAAAGTATATTGCAATTAAGAAAAATACTAAATGTTTTTAAAGGTTTATTTTCAAGGACTCAAGAATTATTTCACTCATTTTCAGTAAAATAAGAACTATTTGTGCTTTATTGATTTTATTTTTTTATATTAAATAATATTGATTGTGTAATGTATATGAGGTAAAACAAATGTATTCTGAGGGCAAAACTGATAGAAAAGAAAATGTTGGTAAAGTACTTACAAATGGCTTTAGATAACAAAAATATAGAATAGTTATATACTTCTCCAGTAGACTGCATCACCACTAGAAAATAAGAAAATGAAAATATAAATTTTGCTTTTAATTGGATATTTCTCCAATAGATTACAAAAACAATATATAGCACACAGCCTACCCTTTGCACAACTTTCCAGTTTAAATCCCAATACATTAAACTACTGAATTGAAATTCTGTAATGTTTATCCAGGTGGGAAATGTTGCCTATTACATTTAGACAGCATGGAAAAAATTGCTCTGAAAACAATAACAAAAAGCTGGTGATAGTTGTAATATTGTGTGATTCATCTCTGTTTACTTTTTCCCAATTCAAAGCAAACTCCTAGCAATTCCTATTCCATACCTCCTTATTGGTGAGGTTGCTTTTGCATAAACTGTTAAATAGGAAATAGCTATTGTGAGGTTGCTTCCCTCTAGTATACTTTGGGGAACAATAGAGTTGTCATAAAATTATCTTAACGAAATCAAAACCGTACAGGTGGTTACATTATAAACTGTGTATGCACACTGATACTTTCATTCTTCTCTCCAGAGAACGGCTTCCAGCCTGCTTTTTCAATTTCCAGTTCAAGAATGTCGAATACAGTTCAGGAAGAAACAAGACCTTCTTGTGCTACATCATAGAGATCCAGGATAAGGAGTCCAAAATCATACGGGGCTACCTGGAAGATGAACATGCAGCAGCCCATGCAGAAGATGCCTTCTTCAACACTATCTTGCCCAAGTGTGAGTCTGGCTTGCGCTACAATGTCACCTGGTACGTCAGTTGTAGTCCCTGTGTAGGATGTGCTGATCGGATAACTAAAGCACTTCAGAAGAACAAGAACCTACATCTCTCCATTTCAGTAGGTCGTCTATTCATGTGGGAGGAACCTGACATACAAGCTGCCTTGAAGAAAATGAAAACAGCTGGTTGTAAATTGAGGATCATGAAACCTCAAGATTTTGAGTATGTCTGGCAAAACTTTGTAGAGCAGGAGGAAGAAGAAGCAAAGGCATTCACACCCTGGGAAGACATTCAAGAGAACTTCCAATTTTATGAAGAAAAGCTTGCTGAACTTTTGCACTGAGGTTAGTGTTAAGTGTGATTTTGAAATCTCCCTGTTTAGGATAGTTTTTCAGACCGTCATAAGAAACAAAGTTTATTTTGGTTTTTAATGTGACAACTTCGGCCAGATTAGAACACACATCTCTGCATTTCACTGCAGAGGCATACTGAGTCCTATTTTATCAACCACTGGCACAGTTCAGAACCCCTCCAAATTTACCCAGGAGGCAGCAAGGGGAAATAATGTCTGGGCAGTAGGTTAATCAAGGAGAAACTTTTAACTAAAGGCTGACCCCAGAATAAGTATCAAGAATTCAAGTCTTTTTTATGCATATCAAATGCTAGAAGCTGAAAAGGCACAAAAGTAAAAAATAAATTGACAGCGATTTCCACAGTTGCTTTCAGCTACTACAGTATTCCTTCTGACAGGATTATGCATAAAAATTCCACAGCTCAAATTAGCCTCTAAATTAGAATTCTAATCTGCATACTGTATGTTTCACAAATCTCTAGCTATGTATTGTAATTCCCCAATCTTTAACTCAGATTTCTACATGACTGCAATCTTTCTTTCCTGGCTTTCAGTCAACCATGGAAGAGAGGTGATCCTACTTCTCTGGTGAAAGACAGGCAAAATCGAGTTACCCCTCTTTTTTAAAAGAAAAACCCATCTCTTTATTGCCCTTTTACGAGACTATTTCTGCTCCAACCTGGACTCACAGATCAGCTTATTTTTCCATAGTGCTTTCAGAGTCTGGATCCCATGGAATCCATTCCTCCTTCACTCACCACACTTCCATATGGCAATGACTCCATGTATCTACATTAGGTCAGTTACAAAAACTGGCAGGTGGAAATAGCAAATAAATATAAAAATCAGTCTTACAAAAAGCCAAACATATGATCTATCTCAGGGGTAGACAACCTTGGCTCTTTTATGACTCGTGGACTTCAACTCCCATAATTCCTGAGCCAGCATAGCTGGCTCAGGAATTCTGGGAGTTGAAGTCCACGAGTCATAAAAGAGCCAAGGTTGCCTACCCCTGATCTATCTATTGTAATTCAGTATTTTTCAAACTCCGCACTCTTAAAATGTGTGGACTTCAACTCCCAGAACTCCACAGTATGCTCGATGTGAAATTTTGGGAGTAGAAGTCCCAAAAAGATGCCAATTTTGAAAAATACTTATCTAATTCAAAAGTAACAGCTACTAAGGTTTCAGGGGGGCGATACGTTTGTGGAATTGAAACACAGTATTTCTGAATGCAAAGGAATGCTCTAACATTAAACTAGGTCTCTCTCCCTAATCCATCTGCTACTGTTTAAACAGAAATATATTATAGTGATGCATTTTTCAAGTGGTGCTGCATTTTCTGCAATACAAATTCCATACTACAAATCTCATATTTGAATCAGAATATAAAAAAGATCAGAAATAATCTTTTAGAGTATTTTAATCAACTAAAACAAATACATAATTACAATAAAATTCAACTGGAATCTTAAGCTGTAACATTAAAATTATTTTTGTTTGTTTGTTTAGGAAATTTATCTGCCACCTATCTCATATTCTACATGGCAAAAATCTCATATCAATCTCTATAAAATTATCAACAGAGATTTGAAGAAGCTATTAATAAAGTGTCTCTGGCTACATAAAGGGTTCAAATGGATTTTATAAATTTAGACAAGGGAAGAAATCAAACCCCCTGCAAAATAAGGAACATTTGTATTAGTTCTCCTATTTTGCAAGAAATAAAACAACATATTGCTGACAGAATCATTTTGTGCCTCTTTTTCTGTCTCTCCAGGAAAAAAATGTGCCAACCCAATGGAGCAACAAGCATGATATACTCTGATATTTGGGACTCTCAACTCAGTTTTCCAGAGCTGCTTTGAAACAGGAAACACCAGATGTCTCCAGCTGACACACTGCTAAGCTGATAGACTAAAAATAAATTTATTATGATGCATGTAGGGATTTGATTTTTTTTAAAATAGATAAACCTGCAGTGCTATTGTTCATATAGAAGAAAAAAACATTATGAATGACAAAGAACAGAATCAAAGCAAAATTCTATCATTTTTAAGTTTAGAAAAGTCCCATCCCAAGAAACTTCAAAAATTAAATTTAATAATTGTGTATTTTTAATATTTTTAAAAACTAATTAATATGCAGTGAATAGTGAGAGAAATCAAAGGGAAATGTAATAGGGAGAGAAATTACTAATTATTTTATTGGCAGTGACCATTCACAAAGCATTGGTTGAGGGAGGTAGAAATATTTTTGCACTTCTGAACTGATTAGCATATTTTTTTTTAAAAAAATGGTTTCTGTTAATGATAAATATTTTCCTGCTGACTCATCTTATAATTTATTTAAAGCATAATTTTTTTTTAAAATTGAACAAATGAAAAGCAAGAAAACAATCTCACTAAACACATCTAATTTTCAGTAAGTTGTCCCCAATTACACTTCTAATTTGAAAAGATCTCTTTCAGATTTAAAATATGATTTTTATTCCATTATCCATTTTTATTAAAAATTTGGTCTAGAGTAAAAAATGCCCTCATATTCGCACTTAATTATTTTATCTAGCACTCATTTGCTATTTTAGCAATATGTACTCTGTAAAAGAAACCACCTAAGCAAATCTGATCCAGCATTCTATGATGTGTATGAACTTATTCATGGAATGCTTAAATAGCACCCCCATACATTTCAACAATGGACCTGGGTGGACAGGAATAACTATTCATGTGCAATTGATATACTGCAGTATTTCAAAGGCATAAATACATAAAACTCATATTTGGAAAAGGTCTTTTATTTACATATGTGAACATCTGATTTTTTTGGTAAACATTTAAATCTATAACTGAAACATAACATTCTACCTTATTCCAATCTTTTCCATGATTGCCAATGTAGATCAAAAATAACATCTTCCAATTGCTAAATAGGAGATAGATATACAAAGTATCCAAACATTAGAATGTACATTTTGACTTTTTTTTTAAATTGGAGTAAGCAGATGACTTAAAGAATTGTGGAAACTAGAATTAAGATATTTTTATCAACACATGCCAGCTAAGATACAACGATATAACATCAAACCGAACAGACAATTATATTAGAAATTAAAGAGTATAAACTGTAATATGAATATTGGTATCTTCAAATACTTCTTCAAGCATTGTTGAAACTTTCTTCCAGTCCAGACGGTCAAGTCCACAACCAATCCTGAAACATAGAGGATACAGGTGTCTTTACTGGACATTTTCTTTGAAACATTTAGTTCACCACAATTTATAGGAAGCATATAAGCAATGCCAAAACAAGGATTAGTTCAAACCAACATATTAGGTGCAAATATGATACAATACTAATTGCATGCCAAATATCTCAATATAGTCACAATTATTGATTTATCCTAAAGAAACATACCTATTATTATTAGCCCACAAGTGGAAAAGAAGTCTTGTGGCTCACAAAAATATGAGAGTGTGTAATATCCCAAGAAACTAAAATTCATTCACTAGCTCATTAGGTATATCACTAAGCTAAAATCTAGATTTTTTTTTAGAAACTCATCTATAATTATGACCATTTTCTATCACATTTTTTAAGCTATAGAAGTGTGGTGCTCTCAAATTACATTTTCTCAGTTATACAATCACATATCAGAACTTGAAAAAATGTTATCTTCCATTTAATAACATTTCAAATTCAAATCAATGAAAACAGGTTTTTTGCTTTAAATATACAAAAATATGTTCTGAATGTACTTAATATAAAAAGTCAGTAGCTCTTCCAGTTCTTTTGGACTTATTATGGAGCCTTGCTTTAGAGCTTTTACAAAGACAAAATATTTCAATATAAATAAAAAAGTAAAAGATCTTCAATTAATGAAAAACTTTTTTTATTTGTCAATGTGCAAATATAGTACAGTATAGTAACATTACAGTATAAAAATGAGCTTACTTTGGCATAGAAACGTGAATTACTGCATTTTTCAGACAATGGATTTTCATAGCTTCTAAACTCTTCCGTAAATTGTCATATGTAGGTTTATGAAAATATTTGTTCTTTGAGATCTAAAAAGTGGTAAAATGTAGATGAGACATATTTTAGATCTGAATCTTTCTGTGTTGCATGTTATATGTCTATTGAGACATTTCAGTAAATTCAGTGGGAAATCTTTCATAAATATGTTCCAAATTGCAGCATTAATCCAGAAACAAATCCTACTAAGCTCAAGGTGCTTTGCTTCTGGATAGACATACAAAGGATTGCATTAATATATTATTCTCATATATTAGATTTTAATTCCATTCAAAAAGAACGTAACAGGTTTTTCATCTCAAGATTATTTTAAAGTATATGATAAATATAAAAGGGCACCCTAACTTATCAGTCAAAGGAATTCCTAAGGGGTTTTAATCTGTGCTGTGATAAAAAAGCAGAAATAGAATTCTAAAATGTCTTTTTAAATGACAATTTAGAGGATAAATGAAATGTAATTACAATCCTTCAGACCCATTCACTACTTGCTTTTAGATAGACATAATAAGAATATACTCAAATAATAAACACATTTGATTTAGAAGAAATCTAACTGATTTAGAATGTTACTTCTAAATGATTTGGTTTAATTTATAAAGATTGAAGTATAACTTCAAGAATCATTGAAATTGTTTTTATTACAATTGAAACAATACACTTATCACAGTAAAACCGTGATTATCTGATGTCAATTGAGAATTTATTAGATAGCAATAGCAATAGCAGTTAGACTTATATACCGCTTCATAGTGCTTTACAGCCCTCTCCAGGCAGTTTACAGAGTCAGCATATTGCCTGCAACAATCTGGGTCCTCATTTTACCAACCTTGGAAGGATGGAAGGCTAAGTCAACCTTGAGCTGGTGAGAATCGAACTGCTGGCAGTCAGCAGAATTAGCCTGCAATACTGCATTCTAACCACTGCACAGCAAACATTGCATTTGTATAGCCATTCCTTCAGAGAAACCATTATTAAAAATTTCAGCAATATTTGTCAATGAAGAGGATGCTTAACTTCGCCAATCATAATACTTAATGCATAAATCCTGTATTTATCTCTAGAATATCTATTCTTGTGCTAGAATCAATAATGTGCCCAAAGACATACCAAGTAGTATACGTATCTAGTTTCCCTCTTCAGAACAGCCACATCTCCAGTCTTCTTGTCTGATATTAAAAAATATCAGTTAATTCCTAATCTCCAAGTACTGAAAATATGTTTATTGTTTTTCAGAACTATCATAATAAACATGTAATAGACCTCTATGGCCATCCCTTATTCTCAAATATTTTTAGACAAACACCAAACAATATATAAATTGATTATATGTGAAAAATTTATAGCACAGGATTCAATGAGTAACTTAACCAAGTGTAGGTAAGAATTAGATGAGTGCTTATATAAGATTCATTCTAAAATAGTGAGGAAATATGTTTACTGTCCTATTTCTAACATTTCTAAGTTACAATTCCACATTATACTAGACCAGGGCTTTTCAACCAGTGGTACGGGTACCACCTGTGGTACATTGGCACCTGGCAGGTGGTACGCGACCATCCTAGAAAAGTGGTAGCGGGGGAGGGGAATGAGCTGAACCAGTGGCAGCACCGCACAAACCTGAGCGAGAGATGGCTGGAGCTGCAGGGTTGTCAGGGCTCAGCAGAAGCGCCAGGATCAGCACTTCTTCGGGGCTCAGAGCTCAGCGGAAGCGCCAGGATCAGCGCCAGGCTCCAGCTGGAGCTCGCCGCTGATCCTGGTGCTTCTGCTGAGCCCTGAAGAAGCACCGATCAGCTGGAAAGCAGCACTGATCCTGGTGCTTCTGCTGAGCCCAAAAGAAGCGCCAATCAGCTGGAATGTTGCAGCATCTCCAGGGTCTTGTGATTTACATTCAGATGCTTGGCAACTGATTCATATGTCCCAGGGTCATGTGAAGTGACCAAAACCTGCTGCAACCACCCAGCAGACGGGGGGAATAAAAACCAAATACCCCCACCCCACCCCCACTGCCAATCCTCCACAGAAATGCTCACAACAATGAAAACCTCGGACAGGAGGAAGAGCGTCACCGGGTGGGCAGGCAGGTGTCTTGCTCGGCTGTGGCTTAGGGGGCACTTTTTTCAGTGCCATTGTTACTTCAAACAGTCACTAAGCGAACTATTGTAAGTCGAGGACTACCTGTACTTTATCACTTTTTTTCCTTTTTTTTTTGGTCATCAAGTTTTTGACACCTTGCTAGGCGACTGGTGGTACTCGGATATTGCCATATCCTAAAAGTGGTACAATGGGTGAAAAGGCCTGTACTAGACAATACAACTGAATAATCTGGTAACAAGTATATAACATATAGGGTGCATTTAAAAACTATAATGTACTGATAAAATTCCCACCCCATCAATAGTCTCAAAGTCCCAGACATAGAGCTAACATACAAAGTAAGCTCTTCGATCACCTAGTGGTTCTATTCATCTGTTGTTTGTTGTTAACACAAGCCTTGTTTAGATACTTTTAAACAAAATTAATGAACTTCTGACTGCTTGTCTCCCAACGCAGGAGCATACAATATGATGGAAATTAGTAGTTCCATTTGAAATAGGCATGTAACTACAGCAAGTTAAACCTCTTCTGCGGCAAGCTTAACTACTGATTATATCCTGAATATTACTTAATAATTGTATTATTGTTGTTAGTTAACTATGTTTATACTTGTTTTGTTTCTAGTGGAAGGGACAATTGTCCCTGACCACTAAATGCCCTCAAAAGCTAGTTTAAAAGCCCCCGCTACACTCAAAAAACCCCATCTGGAACACATTATGTGTTTCTGCCATTTGAAGAAATCTATTTGCATAACACTCACTTTTACTGTATAGTAAGTATAATNCAATCCTCACTAATACAGTGAGCCAAGGAATCTGTTTCTGAACAAGTAAAAAGATCTCCCTGTACATATTTAATCTGAGTAAAAAGGAAAGAGAAGACTCAATATATAAGATAAAATTTCAGAACTAGAAAATGTAAGGCAATATATATAATATCACAGTTTAAGCTGCTGACTACTACACATAAGACACTCTTAACACAATGAACCTACTGTAAAAGTATTTACTAAATTTCCCACTATATAAAATAGGGCTTCTTTTGAGATATACACAAAATAAAACAATAAAATAGAATTTATTTCCAAGAAAAATATGTATTATGCATTCAGTAACATAGGTGGCCAATTGAGTTTAACTCCTGGTGGTTTCATTTAGTTTTCTGGACAACAGCACTACATTACTTTGCCACTGCCACATTCTCATTTTTTTTATTTTTTACAACCATGGGATTTTTTGGCATCCTCCTTTCCAATAATCAGTTCAATGTTGTTTTCATTCTCATTTTTTTGATTTCCTACAACCATGGGATTTCTTGGCATCCTCCTTTCCAATAATCAGTTCAATGTTGTTTTCTCTAATATCCAAAGGATCACTCCTCCTGATATATATCCACATAAATATTAAAGTCTCTTTCTCTTCTTTCACAGCTGTACATTGTGCAAAGAAACAGGAGAGACTCTTCTAAAGTCTTAACACCTAGATTCAGGATCCTCCTCTTCGTGGAGATTTGATACTATGTTGGCTTTATTTTAATGTCAGCTTCTTACCTGGCTGTTCATCTGTTAATAACTCTATACGTTCTGGATTACTGATTTGTTTTATTTTAATGTCTGTTATCTCAATACTGTTAATTTTTTTCAACTGCCTTTCTTATTTTTAAATTTGTATTAGGAAAATGAAATTTTTAATTTTTGTTTTGAATCATGATCATAATTCTCTTCAAAGGGAACTTCCATTAAGTTAAGCAATCATTTTCTTAAAGCCTTCAATGGAATTATTACACTGACTACAGTTAAAGCAGGCACAACTGGTTAACTTGTTTTAGAAACAAAGTTCTACAGTTGCAGAGTTAGAGTATTTGTGGACTCTGTGAATGGCATTTGGGGAATTTATAAAATGGATTACGCCAGTACTTTATAGAGTGCCACTGAATATTTTACTATTCTTTTCTACATAGCAGAATCTGGTAAGAAAACATATTTCACTGCAAACATGTCAGGAAAGTCATAATTATAAATCTTTAGGGGAGTAATTAATTTATCTCATGCCACAGAAATCTAAGGCTTCATGCCATACAAAAATAGATTTCGAGATAATGGGAAACTTCTTATATAGACTCATACTGCAATCTATTCCGGGTACTCATGTCGTAACGTAAAATCAATTTAAGTATTCCATGCTAACGATCAACAGATCATTTATGCTATAAACAGTAGATGGTAGAAATCTTTAGGACAATTTTTGCCTTAATGACCTGTAGTACTGGCTTAAGGGCATATTATCTGTGATTAACAATTAACAATTCTTAAACCTTCATTTTCTGTATCTATACTAAATAGTCATACAAAAATTTCAACAGATTCAATGAACTGTATGCAAGCTCCAATTACTTTCAAGTAAGTATACACGATTTAAATCGGGTTAGCTTATATTATAGTTTGTTTTATAATATAAATCAATAACACTGCAGAAGGTAAAAATGCAAGTGAGCTTCACCTTGTATAATTATTTCCTCTTTGCAATCTGCAAAGGAGGAACTCTTTGGGAGAGTTTTTGCCCTTAGATGATCTATTCTAATTTCATTAATATTCTAATTTAATTTATATAACATATAAAAGATCATGTTTATATCTTATCATATATATGAATAATATATCATACAAAAGTGGTGTTGTTCACAAAATATTCTCAAGTGAAGTTCAATCAGATCACATTAAATTTCACATAATTTGGAATTTCATGTCGGTGTGGTTTTCAAGCATAATTTATGACTTAGAATAGCAAGCACAGTCTCTGCACAAGGTCTATAGCCTGCAAGACAATGCAATATGTATGGAAGCAAATGTATATCCAGACATATGCACTCACACCATTAGACTCCAAACCTCACCTTTCTTTTAGCATCATATTTATTTGGAACTGTTCCTCTTGGCCCCACAAAGTTTCTACTAGATTGTAGCCACTTTGTTAAAAGGAAAGTTTAGTATGTTAGCCATTCTGTGAGTGGATCAATCACAAAATTACTCTTGAAATGCCAAATGCATTCTTACTATAAAAAGGCTGGCTATTCCTCATTTATAAACATTATTGGCATAGAGTAACTTTAAATTTTTAAACAGAACAGGAAGAGCTACTGCTTTATATTATACTTTATAGCATTCTAACTACTGCTTTGGGAAATTGCCAAATGTTAAGGGATCAATTTTCTTATGAATCCATTAAAGGGGGAAAAAACAAAGAGTCAGCCATTCTATCTGGGTACACTTCCATTGTGAATTAATTTTTTAAATACAATGTTTTACACCTGAGCAATCAGCCTGTCAAAGATGAGGAAAAGGCAGAACTACCAACAGCATTGACTTACAGACACTGCAGAATGTATTATTAAAGGATGGATAAAATATGAATAGTACTGAAAATGGATTGTATTATAACCTATTTGGCAGAACTATATTGTAGTAAAATGAACAGTGATTATGCATAGTGATTATGCATTACATCATTATTCTAGCAATTATGCAGACAAATCATTCTAGTTATGCAGACAAATCATTATTCTAATAATTGTTCATTTTACTACATTAATATGGCTAGCATACTAAGATGAAGTGAAACCTATGCAAAAATTAATTCCAATAAAGTTTTACAAATATGAGGATTATTTTTCCCTGCACAAACAAAACCCTACAATCAATCCTCCATACCAGATGGTATTTTTTAAAAACTGACCAGCTATTTTCTGTTGAGAAATAAAACTATCTTTAGAATTCAAAACTGAATTTCAAATTAAAAAAAAAAACTTCACTACAAACCCTTTCTTCATTTCCAGAAACCCGGGTACTAGCCATAACTGGGTGGATCACAGGGATTTTTTTCAGCTACAAAGACTAGAAAATAATAATGTTCATATTCATGGCAGGCAAAGCAAGCAAAGAGAAATGACTACTAAAAAATTTAAAATTGCTGTAAACCCAAACTATCAAATACGAATTAGGGCACCAGTTACACAGCGATAACCTTCCCTTCCCCCCCCCCATGAAAAACAATAATTCTGAGACTTCTTAACACATCCTTCGCCCTCTCGTGTGTAAAAACCTATACAGGGCCACAAAAACACTGCTTTTGAAACCGGCAAAGCTGCACCAAAGGGCGAGTGGCCGCCCCTCGAGGCGCCTCCAAGATATGACGTGTTTTCCTTAGCCCGCCCCCGCCCACCAACTCTCTAAGCCAGCAATGGCGGAAGAAAAAAAAGAACCACACCGGCCACCCGCCTAGACATACAACGGCAGCATTCGGTTTCGCCTCCCACTAAGTTCTAAGTTCTGTTATGGCAACCCTCTTCGGGAGCGCCTTAAACAAAAAACACAAAATGTCAGCCTCTTTGTGGGCCTCCCTAGGAAGAGGACTCTATGGCCCCGGCCGAGAGCATGCGTTATATAAAGAAGCAGGTCAGTGAAGTGCTATTGAAAAAAAAGCTTCTGAAAAAAAAATTGTCCCGCGCATGCGTAGAAAAGCCATCTCGAGTCTGGAACTGTTGAGAGAATAAAAACGGCCTAAACGCACCCGTCAGTTCGAAAGAAGCCAACGCATGCGTGCAGTTTTAAACTCGCGCAAGCAACCGCGGGAGGAACTTTTCTACCGCGCCTGCGCGAGGGCACCCTCGTCTTCTCTTTGTTGGGCTTCGGGGGGTTGGGCGCCATTTTGCGCGGCGGCTGAGTGGAGGCGCTGATTGGGTTTCGGGGACCGGTGGCGGAGCCAATCAGAGCGGGACCCGAACCGGGGGAGCAAGGCACGGTGAGTTCGAGCAGCCAATATGGAGCCCCCGAGCGCCGGCCCAAGAGCCGGGATTGGCGGGGCCGAGTGGCCAGTCAGAAGGCCGCGCGCGGGCTAGGGCTGGGCGAGCGCTGGGGCAGCGAGTGGCTGTGGCCCGTTGGCGCCCGGAACCCGCATCGAAATGGGATGGGTGACTGACGTGGGAACGGGGATGTCACTGGGGCAAATGCGAGTAGGGTTAACTAGTCCCGTCTTGCTCGGCCCGGTCCCCGCGGGACCGCCGGAGGACCTTCGGAGATGCCTTTCTGTGGCCTTCGCTGGATGAAGGAAACGAGGGAAAGCCCATGGGGCGTTTCCTCCGGTTGCTTCACAGGGCGGCTTTCAGTGGCCTGTGTAAGGGGCTCGCCATCCTGGGTTTGGCGGCCGCTGGCCCTGGAGGTCAGTTTCGCTCGCACGCCTTTCAGAGCACGGACTGTAACCGAACGCCGCGGGGCTCAGAGCTCTGCGTTTCTCCGTCAGCCCCTCTGCCAAATTTTTGCCTCTAAAAAATTAGCCTTTGATCAAGGCCGATGTTGTAGCCGAGAAGGCCTCTTCATAGCTGCTTTTTCCCATGTCAAAAAACAAAAGGGTTTTCCCTTACATATCATGTTACAATTATGCAAAAATAATCTGCTTCAGATGAAAGCCACTGCTGCTTATTCCCGGTGTAGGCTGCTCACGTAGTACAAATGTACATTGCATAGGCTGACCGGTAACCCGAAAGAGGAGGAGCCTTTCAATAAACGGTGGAGTTAAGGCATGTTTTTCTTCTGTCATGTTAGAATAACCATGTGGTGATAGATTCTTCTTTTGTGTGTCTGAAATCTTTTAATGTACTTCCTGTACAACATGATTTAGTGGCTTATGACAAAGAGAGATACTATATAGGAATTCTTAAATTCAATGTTGGGGAATAACATTGGTTTGGTTTTTTGGTTTCATTATATTCTGTGTTTATATATTATATCATTGAACATAAAATCTTACAGAGACCATGCTTTGTGGCCCGGTCTAGAATTTGCAGAAAAGGAATCGGTTGTATTACTGGCTGCTTTCTTTAAAAAAAGGATATTAAAATAACTACTGTTTATATGCAAGTAAGCTTAAAATGTAGTTAAAATAGAAAAAGAAAGGTGATATTTCAAATGTAAGGCTAAAGTATGTTAATTTTCAATTGACAAATGTGCATCATTTTTCTGCTGAAAACAAAAAGTGTAGAATTTAGTAATGACAGAATAACAGTTGGAAGGGACCTTGGAGGTCTTCCAGTCCAACCCCCTGCTCAAGCAGGAAACCCTATACCATTTCAGACAAATAGTAGTCCAATCTTTTTTTTAAAAAACCTCTAGTGTTGGAGCACCCACAACTTTTGGAGGCAAATTGTTCCACTGTTTAATACAAAATCTCACAATCATATAGCCTGCTTGCTTCCTCTTTGGCCTCACAACTGAATCTAGAACAGTGGTTCTCAACCTTTTTAATGCTGCGACCCCCCAACCGGTCGTAAGTCGAGGACTAAACCGGTCATAAGTCGAGGACTAAACCGGTCGTAAGTCGAGGACTACCCAACTGGTCGTAAGTCGAGGACTTTCCCTGCCCAGGAGCGCCACGCATGCGTGGTTCTGCCCCCTGCGCCGGCTGAGGCATAGCTGGCAAGCGGCAGAGACGGAGCAGGCCGACCACCAGCTGGCCCAGCCCAAGGGAGGTAAGGCACCTGCTGGAAAAGGGGGAAAAAATGGTGGACAAAAAAAATGGCGGACAGCCTTGCTTGGCGACCCCCATGAAATGGTTGATCGACCCCAAATGGGGTCCCGACCCACAGGTTGAGAACCACTGATCTAGAAGGAAGTCAGACCCATTACTTCTGATTTAAGCTTATCAGTAGGATTTGCTGAAACCCTGTGTCCTGTACAATACATTTGATGAAAAACAATTTCAGTTTCTTGACTAAATTAACACTGGCAGTGTCCTGCAGAATTAATCAGAAGATGTGAATATTTGAATGTTTACCTAAACCCTGTGCACTCTTAAATTCTCAAGAGGATCAGCAAGGTATAAATTGAAAAATAAATGCAGTAATTCTTATAGTAAAAAAAATGCTTGGTAAATGGGAGGAGAGAATCCTCCCTCCCAGAACTTCTAGAGCAGCGGTTCTCAACCTATGGGTCGCGACCCCATTTGGGGTTGATCAACCATTTCACGGGGGTCGCCAAGCAAGGCTGTCTGCCATTTTTTTCCCCTTTTCCGGCAGGTGCCTTACCTCCCTTGAGCTGGGCCAGCTGGTGGTTGGCCTGCTCCGTCTCTGCCGCTTGCCAGCTACGCCTCAGCCGGCGCAGGGGGTGGAACCACGCATGCGTGGCGCTCCCGAGCAGGGAAAGTCCTCAACTTACGACCGGCTGGGTAGTCCTCGACTTACGACCGGTTTAGTCCTCGACTTATGACCGGTTTAGTCCTTGACTTACAACCGGTTGGGGTCATGGCATTAAAAAGGTTGAGAACCACTGTTCTAGAGACCCAGAACTTTAATCCAGTCATATGTACCTAATGCCACCAGTAAGTTTGCCTTTTGAAACTGCTTCAGCTGGAAATTCTTCCTTTGTTTCCCAATTTCTATCATTTTACTATATTGCAGTTGGGCCCACTTCATTATTTTAGGGTTCCCAGATAACTTGTACTCAATACACACTGACAATAATGTTCTATGTTTTCTTTTAGGTTTCTGATTGAAGATTGGATAAAGAATTAATACAGGAAACTATGGAGCAGTACACTACAAACAGCAGTAGCTCAGCAGAACAGATAGTTGTACAGGCTGGACAAATACAGCAACAGGTATGACAGTTACTTGTAATTCAGATTTCAGTATGTTGGTTCTTAACAGTTTTAAGTGCCCAGAAAAATAGGTACTTCCATACTGATTGGTAGAGCTGTGCAAAATATTGGGTTACCCTTTTTTGCTGCAAAAGAAGCATCACTCCTTCAAGTGTAAAAACAATCATGCTCCCTCCCCAATGTCTTTGCCCATATATGTGCACAGAGAGTACTTCTGCCAGAATTTTTGCCAAAATGAATTATACTTCCATGTGGTTTGCATAGCCCTACAAGGGCACATTTAATCTTTATACATTAAAGCATAATTATGAAAAATAAATCGTATCTTGGCCAGCTCTAACACTAACGTAATGATTTGTTTTATTTGTGGGTGATGTCAATATAAAATAATGTAATACTTCATTACAGTACTACCTACAAAGTTAAAGATCTCTTTGATTAATCTAAATAAGGTTATGCTTATCGTACTGTTTTTCTTTGATATCTTGTCTATGTTTCTTAAATTTCAATGCTTTTTTCTGAGAGAAATCACAGTGTAAGGCCTACACTGATTTAGGCACAATGCAATATCAATGTGTTCATATTTCTTCCCTTCAGAAGCCACAAGTCAGCCATCTGTTTCTTTTCTGTCCTTATTTAGAGCTTCCAAACTTTGCACTGAGTAAGGGTGTACTTTGCTCCTTTTTGACCAGAGAATAATATGCAGATGAAACATTGGTAGGCCACCACATTTGAAATGGATTCACGCATTCCTCCTTGTAGGGCCTGTTGTCTCTTCTGGCAGTTTTTTTTTTTAATCTTGTGTTGAGCATTTCCTTTCCTCCTGCCAAATTTCAAGCTCTTCCTGTTCCTGTTCCCAGCAGCAGGGTGGTGTGACTGCTGTCCAGTTGCAGACTGAGGCTCAGGTGGCATCTGCCTCAGGCCAGCAAGTTCAGACCCTCCAGGTAGTGGTGATCTATCTGTTGTTTTTGTGTGAGCATTGCATGAATCACACCATCACTGCATGTTCAATGCTGTGTTTGCACTGGGGCTTCAAATGGAAACAGAAAAATAGTGGCAGTTTTAATTATAAGTAACATCTCATGTCCTTAAACGGGATAGAATAAGCTTCTCAACCAATTCTCATGCTGGCTGTGAATCAAAGGAGTTACAGTTCAATGTATGGATGATAGTTCATTCTAACTGTAGCAGATAACAGTCCAATTAACAAAAATGTTGGAATGGATTATCCAGTTAAAAATGCATGCCGCAAACTGACTTATCTGAAACTTCTATTACTACAGATTGAAAAAATAGGGATAATATGCTGGGGCTTG